GGGGGGGGGGGTGAGTCGAGGTGGGGGAGAAAAAGAGAGAGGGAAAAGAGAGGAGATGCATTTTTGTGCTGGACTGAAAGACCAGTGGATTTTTTTTCCTTTTCTTGATGCGGCGTTTGGATTAAAAAAAAAATGTCGGTAATGTTGAGATGCAGGTATAATAGGATGTGTTGCATTTTGCGGCGGATGCTTTTGTGCGGAAGGTTGTAATTTAGTGTCTAATAGCGGTAATAGTGAGCGGATCGGACGGAGTGAGCGCATAGCTGCAGGAAGCTGGCGTTTTATTTCCACACGGCTTTGTCAATTAGCGCCGGAACGCCACAGCGCATTCTGATTGTTTGCGAATTTGCAGCAAATATCTGAGCGTGTAAATATTCTGTGCAAAAATTACAACAGCAAAAAAACCAAACCAAAAAAAAAAAAAACCAGACTAACAAAAAGCAAACCCTATTGTGTTGTCTTTTCACTGCTACTGCTGCTGTTTTCCTCATGTTGAAGTTACCTGGTGTGTTCTATTCCAGTAAAAAAGCTTTTATGCTGACCGGCAAAGTTGGTGTGTTTGTAAGGAAAACGTATTTTCAACGTAAAATTAATTTGCATCAAATCGTTAATTCAGCATTTTTTTGTAAATAATACATTTCATTCTATAGTTTAGTCTAGTAGCCTACTGTGTGTGTGTGTGTGTATTTTTGTTCGTTTGTGACAAAAATAAACCACAGCATAGCCACTAACGTCAAGCTGAAGAAAATATATATTGCCTGTAGTTGAAATTTAGCTTTTTTTATTAATCATTTAAGCCAGGTTTTGGTGTCAATGTATTATTTATATGTTTGCAGTTTATGAGCAGCAGTTTTTCAAAGTAAAACAACAGTTTTTTATTTATTCCAGAAAAACTTTAAGCAAAACACTGCTATTTTCCTCACAAGTCTGTATTTTAAAAGGCCAAACAGGGGGTCTCATTCATTTTTGCATTTCTCTGTGAATTCATCTTTGATCGAAGTGTTCAGACTACCTGTATCTCAGTGAGCTCTAATGTTTACTCTCAGCCTGCCCTGCAAACCCTCTCAGGACTGAACACTGGCCTTCTTTGTGTGCCGCTCGCCACTTTCTACTTCAGATGACTAGTTTATTCCACAATTGCTTGAACCCGTAGGAGACATTTGACTGTGTGCATGAAATGCCGTCAGTGCGATTTGATGGGGAGCCCATGTCTCTCAGACAGCTCGTCTCAAACTCTGGGGGCCCTGTTTGATTGGATTTGAATGATCTCGCAGTTTTAAAAAAGGAGTAGATTCGCAGGTCGTTCTCTGTGTTTTGGTAGTTTTTTGCGAGTCAGACCAAGTCATGTGTTCAGTCGCTCTCAGCTCTCATCGCTGCCCCTCAAATGTCACATAAATGTTGCAGTACATGCATAGATTTGCAGGGGTGGATTTAGAGAAATATTCATGGGGTGGCCAGAGGGTGTTAAGGGATGACAGACATATACACTGATTTAATCACAAACAATCACACATATCAATATTTGTTTGGAAGCTTTTCAAATGAAGACATTTGAGCTCAAAAACATTACATTATTTTGGGACGTTAGTAAAACATTGAATAGAAATATCTTACGGTGAGACTATCACTTGGTCTAAAATGTGTCCGTAACAGATTGTTACTATAATATACATTTTTAACACATTATTTAAAAAAATCTCTGAATTAATGTGTTAAATTTGATTGCATTTGACACCAAATTAGGGTGGCTGGGCATTGTTTAGGTTTGGCAGCTGCCACCCCATGTCACCCCTTTAGTGCCGCCCCTGCGGATTTGGCAAAAAATCGAAATTTGGCACAAAACACACACGTTGCTAAATGTAAAGCTCAGGACATCTAACTCCATAACTGTAACAGTTTCCTTGTCATCTGCCAGTGTTAATGTAAAAATGCATATAAAACTGTATATAGCACAGTAAAGGCCCCTCACAGCAAAGGCTACAGTTTGAGCATTGGGAGTACATTAGCTTAATTAAATATGCCTGAACCATTTGTTTACTAATCATCTGCTTCCCTAAGAAATCACAATGGCGATTTAGACCACTTTAGCTGCCTCCGTCAGACACATTCGGCAGGTGCAGAGTGCTGAGCACAGAATCCCACGAGGGGCTAAACTCGCACCCCCTGTGAAAGTAAATGCTTTGAAAAGACACTGTTGTTGTTCACTGTGAGTCGCTGCTGAAGGACCAAAAGAAGCTCTGTTACCTTTTACACCATTCAAACAATTGTGTACCTTGTTGTGCACAACCTCAGTGCCTCAGAGTGGATGATTCAGCTGGGAACACACACACACACACAGAGTTGAAACGCATCACTACCAATCACCCTCAGTGATGTTTGTTCTTTGTTGTGATGTACCCCACACGGCTCTACATATTGTCAGATAAAGATAATGCCAATTTAGTTTATCCCCAAACCCTGCTGAGATCTTAATTGATGATTTGTGTCATTGGACAAGCAGCCCAGGGGCATATTTGGTGCTGCAAAAATACTCCAACACTATTTGCATATTCCCATTCCTACTATATGGGTAAATTACATGATGAGGTGCGATGCTGTGCATTCCTGCGGCTTTTGGGGGGATAATCACTAATAAAGTGATTCAGTCACACTAAATGAAGGAAGTAAACAGAGCGAGGAGAGCATATGTTACAAACCAATTTAAGCATTTATGTATGGCCATAAAGCAATTGAGGAAATTAAACCACAAGCAAATGTCTTGTCATTTCCTTTGCCTTTGCCTCTAATTCCACCCAGCGTGGTGCCAAAGAAACCAATGCATCATTTTTGAAGATCTAAGTTTTTTTTTGACATTCTAATGTAAGACTAATAGAGGATTCCTTTTCTTAGCAATCAGATTGTGAGATGTCTAATTTGTTTTTGAGGGCCTCACTTTCTTAAAACAGGCTGGAAAAAGCAAGACGATGTTCAGAATTATTCATAAGGCTTTAGTCCGCAGGGTATCCTCAGCAGAGTGCATCTAGGTCCTGTTCTGGGCCCGTGAGCAATGTGATGTAGGCTAGTTTTTTCGTGTTCAATAGAGCAGCAATCCTTAAGACAATTGTGTTGTGTTGTGTTGCATGTTTTGGCCCTGTCTGGGCCCTCACAGGTCATGCCCAGTAAGTCCGCTTGATCCCTATTGCTCTCAAGAGGAGGCAGAGGTCTGTTTATACCGTCAGACAGCTCAGCTTAAGGACAGCCCTTGCATGCTTACCCTTGCTCATTCTACAGCCAGTGCTGCGTTGGCATGGCTCTAAGTAAGCCACCAGGGAGCG